GATGTTTATGGCCCTTTATACCAAGATAGAGATTTAAGGGAATCTTGTAGGATGTGTGTAGCCATAATGTCAGATGAATTAGAGGACACCTCATAGACCTGGCAAGATGCTTCTTTTGTCTCTAGAGGGTCACTCCCCTGCCGCCCCCAAAGGGCAGCTGCCACTCTTTAATTCCTCCTTTGCTCAGAACTGCTGGCACCCGCCCCTGCTCACAGTTCTACCACCCCCAGGAACAGAACTATCACCCAAACCCTAACATGTTACCTCTGAGGGAAGTGGCAAATTAGGAGCCTGGTGAGGGGATTATTCAGTATGTGCTCCCTTTTCTATGTCTGACTTGGCCCTTTGCAAATAAAAACTCAAGTCAGTTTTCCAAAGACCTTAGCAAATTCAGAGGTTTAATCACTGAATACTGACTTATAACTTAACTTAGAATAATTTACACATTGCTCTCTCCCACTACTGTACTGTAGATTAAAAAAAATAGCACGTATTAGGAGCTGCAAGGGCTTATGCTGATGAGTTAGGTGGTCATCATGCTCAACATTGCATATATGGACCAGGAGGAGATGCATTCCCAGATCAGGAGCCTAATTGGGTTCATCAAAGTGGGACGGACGAAGGGCAAGAGGGAAGGGACTGCAGGACCCATATAGTTACTTGTTTTATAGATGGGATAAATAAATATATACTATTACGCCTGTTAATTATGACAAACTAAAAGAGGTTATTCAAGAAAAGGATGAAAATACCCCCTTTTAGAGAGAATTAACAGAGGCTTCATGAAAGTACACAAACAGTGACACCAGTCTGTTGAACAGTCTTCTCAAAGTAGTTGAGTTTTTTCTTTCAAACAGGACCCAATATTATCTGTAAGCTAAAAATGAACAAAAAATTAAATTAGGGGAAAAAAAGATCCATATATTACCTGAGGTGAAAAAACCCTGCCCATAGAATTGTGGGTTGAAAACCAGCCATGTTCTCTAGGCAATAAAGGTGAATCTATCTGTACCAACCCTCTCCTTCCCCAGCCTTATAAGACTCCTGGCCCCTTTGTGTGTGGACTTAACAAGGGCCCAGGTAGACAGCATGTGAGGGGACCCTACCTAGGAACAGCCTATGACCCTTCACAGGAATTACCAATATAAAGGCCTAATTTAGACTTGGCATCCAAAGGGCCAGCGATGAATTTTAAGCATCTGCATGGGCATCAAGCTCCAGTCTTTCCCTCAACAACTGCTGTTTTTCTAGGTTCACGGGCTGTTTCTCTACTGAGAGTAGAGCCAGCACACTTGGTCAGGACCTCATGAGGGTCTGGTGAGACCCCATGATAAAGCCTAGTGACTTGTTCCAGTTTCTTGTCCTAGATGTTGGCTGTGGTCTAGCTCCCAACAAGGTCAACTCACAATCACCTCAGGGCCACTTGCCTGACTTTGACCTTCTCTGGAGCTAGACATTCTTAATGCAGTATCTTACCCACTACTTTGGGCCTCCTTGGAAACAGACACGAGCCCAGTTCACACCTGCATTCACCCCATCGTCAGGCTACTCTAATCTGCTGTCTGACTCACTGGCCTGTGTTGCTTAAGTCCCTGTACTGCCAGCACACATATCTGTCTGGTATGACAATTGGGAGGGCAGAGAGATACAACAGGAACTAAATTTAGGTTTGATAGCAATAACTTAAAAAACTTATATAAAATCCTCTCTTGGGAAGTATAGCAAAATAAAAGAGATGTAAATGAAAGTTTAAAAGTTAGAAATATACATGAATGTGTTAAAGAATAACATTGAGCCTAAGACCATCTTATGTGGGTTTCACTGGTCTCTTAGGCAAAAGTTCTTTGTATTATATGCATCCATCTAGAAGGCACAGTACTTTTTTTTTTTTAATATATTTTATTGATTATGCTATTACAGTTGTCCCATTCCCCCCTTCATTCCCCTCCACCCTGCACACCCCTACCCTGCTACTCCCCACCATTAGTTTATGTCCATGTGTCACAAGTTCTTTAGATTCTATATTTCCCATACTATTCTTGCCCTCCCCCTGTCCATTTTCTACCTACCGTCTATGCTACTTCTTTTCTGAGCCTTCTCCTCTCCTTCTCTTCCTCTCACTCCCCTGTTGCTAACTCTCCATGTGATCTCCATTTCTATGGTTCCATTCCTGGTCTAGCTGTCCTCTGTTTTAGGTGTGGTTGTTAATAACCGTGAGTTTGCTGTCCTTTCACTGTTCATTTTTTATCTTCTTTTTCTTAGATAAGTCCCTTTAACATTTCATATAAGGGCTTAGTGATGATGAACTCCTTGAGAAGTTTATCTGAGAAGTACTTTATCTGCCCTTGCATTCTAAATGAAAGTTTTGATGGACAGAGCAATCTTGAACGTAGGTCTTTGGATTTCATGACTTGGAAAACTTCTTTCCAGCCCCTTCTTGCCTGTAAGGTCTCTTTTGAGAAATCAGCTGACAGTCTGATGGGGACTCCTTTGTAGGTGACTGTCCCCTTAGCTCTTGCTGCTTCTAGGATTCTCTCCTTCATTTTAATCTTGGCTAATGTAATGATGATGTGCCTTGGTGTGTTCCTTCTTGGGTCCAACTTCTTTGGGACTCTCTGAGCTTCCTGGACTTCCTGGAAGTCTGTTTCCTTTGCCAGATTGGGGAAGTTCTCCTTTATTATTTGTTCAAATAAGTTTTCCACTTGCTCTTTCTCTTCCCCTTCTAGTACCCCTATAATTCGGATGTTGGAATGTTTAAAAATGTCCTTGAGGTTCCTAAGCCTCTCATTTTCTCAAATTCTTGTTTCTTCATTCTTTTCTGTTTGGTTGTTTTTTTCTTCCTTCTGGTCCACTCCCTTGATGTGAGTCCCAGTTTCCTTTCCCTCACTATTGGTTTCTTGTGCATTTCCCTTCATTTCACTTAGTTTAACCTTCATTTGTTCCTCTAATTTGTGACTAAAACCAACCAGTTCTGTGAGCATCTTGACCACCAGTGTTTTGAACTGTGCATCTGATACGTTGGCTATTTCTTGGTCGCTTAGAAGTATTGGCTCTGGGGCTTTGAGCTGTCCTTGACCCATAATGTTTTGGTCTATCTGCGCCTGGTAGATATGAGGGGAGGAGCCTTAGGTGTTCACCAGGGCGGGGTGACCCAGTGGCTGGAATATGATGCTGTATATGGGGGCAGGGTAGGAGAGGAGCAATGGCGCTTGTTCCACATGCTCTCTCAGATTTTGGTTCCCTTTGCTGCTTCCCGCAATCAAACTGGGCTCTTCTGGTGCTGGTTCCTGGATGTGTGGGCTTGTGATTCCTCCAGGACCCTGTGGGTCTCTCCAACAAACTCTCTGTGAGCCTGGGAGCTTTTCTTGGCACCCTGAGCCCGAAAGTTTTTCCAATTGGTGCTTTTAGGCTTTAATTCCCGTCGATGGGGCCCTAGCCTGTGCGGTGTCTTGCTACTCGCTCCTACACCTGGTTTTAGAAGGCACAGTACTTTTGATGTCAACAAGTCTAATCTTATGCCTTAAAGGCTCTAAAACTGACAAAATCAGCATTGAAATCATATCAAAATCTAGCTTGTATTAATGAATGTAAAGCAAACTGTTTTGCAGCAAGGTTTTCCAACAGAGTTGTGCAAGAGGACTCTGGCTTTTTTTCTTGTCTTGGCCTCATATCCTCACTGCATGTCTTGACCCATGTTCCAAGCTTGTCACATCTAGCCTCACTCTTGATCTCCTGTTTCTAACTTATCTGGACTTCGGACTTGAGAGTTGACTCTAGCTTTCTGAGAATAGCTTTGGTCCTCCATTTGTGATGGGCTGCTTTGCAACACTTATGAACACCTTTCCTGACTGAGCCCAGCATAGCAGTCCTAGTGGCTTGGACTTTAAGCCATCCCATTTGAGTACCTGGGTCGCCAATGGGGGCCACCATGTCGCTAGTCAGAGTATGAGCCTGTCACTAGCTGCTAAGACTGGGGCCCTCCTTTTGCCCAGATGCTATGGGCATGACTCTAACACCTCTGTCCCAACAGTTGTTCAATGGCTCAGTTTTGCAGTGGGGCAGAAGGGAAAATTCAGGCCTTCCAAACTAGTTCTTTCCTCTTTTACTAGGGTAAAATTTGGGGGGTCCAGTCTGACAGGGAGGGTGGGAAGATGAGTCTTAGTGGAGGTGATGTATATACTCAGTCACTAAATCCACACAGTGGGAGCCCCTTTGGCCTCCCCTCTCTCTGATCTTTAACAGCCAATTTGTCATCAAGTCATAGAAACACTACCTCTGTGACAGCACTAGAAACCATCTCTTCTCTCTGTCTCCTCTGCCACTGCTTTATTTCTGACTCTTACACAGTTGATCCCTGAAAGAGTAGGGGTTGGGGGGCTGACTCCTCACACAGGCTAAAATCTGAGTGTAAGTGTTGACCGCTTCAAAACTAAGTCATTCCTCAGTATCAGTGGGGGATGGGTTCCAGGACTCCTGCCAATACCAACATCTATGAATGCTCCAGTCTCATATAAAATGGTGTAGAAGGTACAGAACAATGCATACAGTTGACCCTCCACATCTGTGGATCCCGAGCTGTGAAATGAAAAATATTCTTTTCCATCTGTGCTTGGTTGAATCTATGGATGCAAACCTGATAGATATGAGGGCCAACTGTGTATTTATTGAAAAAAAACCTGCGTATATGTAGACCTATGAACTCCAAACCCATATTGTTTAAGAGTCAGCTGTATTTCTTGCTTGCTTATGCTAACTGGTACCAGTGCACTAAGTCTGGACCCTCTTTCCAAGCTGCTATCTACAACGTTGTGGGAGAGAGCTTTCTAAAATGCAAATTAGATTAAGTCATTGCCTGCTTTAATATATTTTAAAGCTCCTCAGTTTTAAAAAATTGTTGAAAGTCTTTAACCTTAACCTAACACACAGTCTTCATAATCTGCACCTGCCTAGCTAGCTCAGGACATCTTCTATCACATTCCCTCAAGCATGTTGTTCTCCAGGTATCCAGAAGCATCACTGTGTGTGGAATGCATGTAGCTACCTTCTACTTGTCCTTCAAGATTCAGATCACAGGTAACCTGGCTGTGGCATCTTTCCTGACTCCTGCATGAGAGTCCAGGGCAGTGTTTGTGGGCTGGCCTTTGGAGTAGCCCTTCTGCTCTACCCTCATATCATTAGTTGGTTTATTGGCCTTCTCTACTAGCATGTAAGCTCTCTGAGGTCAAGACCTTGACTTTTTATTTTGTATTTTTATGATTAGTATTTGAGATTTAGCATATGCTAAAAAAATGAGTGTTAAATGAAGAGTAAATGAATATGGGGATGGGCTGGGATGGGAGTAAAAGACAGAAAACAGTACTTGAACAACAATTAAAATAAATAATAGTAATAATAATAATAATAAAGAGTAAATGAATAAATACATTTCAAAATTAGTAAAGAAACAAACAAACAAACAAACTGAAAGCCAGAGGCCTGTCATGAGTTCTCCGTTTCCTCCTGAGTTCCACATGAACTTGGCTGAGTGGGGTACAGGTGTTTTTGTAAGCACCTTCACTCACAAGTGCAGAATGTGCATGAAACACTGAGAACCATAGGCTTAGGGAGAGTAAAGAAAAGGCGAAATGGACTTGATATAAAACCTGTAGTATTTAAGGACCAAGTATTTGAACAAGAGTGGCTGAGGATGACTGGCACTAAGTGGCCAGGGAAGTAAGGAGGTCAGAGGACAGTTAGGGCCGAGTATTGTTATGAATGGTGGAAGTAGTTTTCAGAAGTGGGGAGAATGGTCAACACTGATCAGAGCTGCTGAGAGAGCCAATAAGGTTTGGACTGAAAACTATTTGATTTATCCTACAATTTGGCAGTTATCAGTAACCCTGATGAAGAGGAATTTCAATGGCAGAAGGAAGAGAAGAGATGGGTAAGCCAGATTTTACTTTTACTACATTGGGGCATGAATAAAGGGGTGAGTGTGTGCAGGTGGTGTGTAGAGATAATGAAAGATTATCAAAGAAAACAGAGACATAGGGTGGTAATGGGCCTGGGGAGAGTTAAGTGGAGGTTTTTGTGTTTGTTTGAGTGTTAAGGGAATACTCAACAAACATATGGTAAGAACCCCCCAAAATGAAACAAGAACAGAGGGGTTAATGAAAATTTCCACTAAAGCATGCTATTGGTGTAACAACTTATGTGGCATAGATCAGGATTACTGATGAAATGTCAGTAATGAGCTGCAAATAACATATTGAAGTGCAGTTCCTGGCAGCTAGTTTTAGGAAACAGATCATTGTTTCTTATTTTCTAAACTATCCTCTCTAAATTTTGCAAATTTATTTTGTAGGTAAGGCAATGGAGGAAGCAGCAAGTTACATCCTGTTCCAGGCTAAGGCCAGAAGACAAAGTGGCTCACAACAGGGAAGTGGTGAAATCGACTTTCACAAATACGATGACAGGGAGTGGCATTCTGGGCCTCTTGTATTTTATCTGACAACCCTGTTTAGGGTACATGAACTTTTTGTGGGGCAATTATTCTGCTTATTGAATCACAAAGTGTTAGTTGTGAAAAAGACCTTAGAGATAATATAACTCAATTTTAAAATAGAGCTAATAAAACTTTTGTTTTACACCCACTGAATACTCATTCTCAAAACTACATAAAACACAGAAAAGTACAAAGAAGAAAGTATATACTGCTTTTTTAAAACACAATGATTATATCATGAACAACTTCTTGGATTATTAAACATGCACAGAAAAAACTATGAATTGTGGTTTAATGTTCTGGACCATGGCCATATAACTGTCTACTGTTATAGTTAGCTTGCTGCCATTTTTTTTTGCTATCATAAATAGTATTGTAATGAATATCACAATATGGGGTCACTTTGAATCCTATTTTTGTAGTATCTGCAACCACTTTTTATTTTAAGGAGTAGTATTAGCCACAAATGCATGTTTTGTTAAGACCACTGCTCCCTTGTCCCACTTTACTTCTTCTTTGCTGACTCCGCCAGTCATGCTACTTAAAGGCCCAGCCTGCCTTCAGTTCCCAGAGTAATCTGTCTCTGAAGCTGTACTTGAAGCAGCCTTCAATTTTCACATATTGGCTCCATATCAGCTAGGCTCACCTTGGTCTCTTTCCCTGGTTTCTTTTCTAGGAAACATTCTTGTTCATTGCACCTCATGGGAGGATGGGAGCCCAGCCTTGTTCTTGCCAACTAGGGCTGGAACTGTGCCCTGGAGCTTCTGCGGAGTCACTCCTTTGTGTATTTGGAGAAGACTGCAGGAGGCTTTATCTTAATCTCTTACAGTGAGAAGGGCACTTGGTCAGATCCACTTCGGCAGCCAGCATCCGATCTTTTTTGCTGTTTTAGGGGGGAGCTCTTCTTGGGCTTCAAAAGGAGAGGAGGTTTAATTACCAACATAACCCCAACAGACCCAGACTCTGCTTTGTGGCTTGTCTTTCACTATATGATTTGCATTGTTTTATTGGAAAACAGAAAGATTTTCAGGAACTGCTAGCAAGTCAGGCTTATTTATGTTTCCTAGTAGTTACTGGACTCTATTTCCTTATTAGCTAAAATTAGTGTATAAAAGCTTTGGGCTTATTAATGTCAAACTGATGTTAGGACAAGCACTAAAAAGAATGAGATTTTTATTGTGTTGAAACCTTAGGACAGTGTTGCCAAATCTGTAGAATGGCAAAATAAATAAATGTAGAAAAATCCTTCCAAACTGAATACTGAATACTCATTTAGGACTTTCCAAAGGGTTAAAAATAACTATGTAAATCAGAAATCTAGACTGCTTTATTTAAGAATGTGAAAACAATTTCACTTAAATCTTGGAAAATGGTTTGCTACTCACCATTTATGGGTAAATGAAGAAAAAGTGATGAAAGGGGGTTGATGAGGGGAGTGGGGTACAAGGAGACTAAAGGTAATGGCAAAAAAACACGATAAAGATTAAATTTAAAAAAAAAAGGAGGTTGAGATGCATAGGCACCCATTTAAGTTCTTCAAGACCACACGTTTAGATGCTGGCCACAGAAAGTAAATTCACGGTGTATGTGGAGTCATTCATTTATTCAATAAATAAGTACTGAACAACTACTATGTATCAAGGGTTATGACAGATGCTGGGGATACAGGAATAAAAAATATAGATGGGTTTATAGCATAGACTAAAATTAGTGTGCATGGTTGGATAAAATAGAACAATGAGAATGTAAGATAAGATGTCCAAGAAAATCTGGGCAAATCAGGATGGCGCCAGTCTCAGGTAATCCTTGAACTGAGGGTTGAGTATGAATAGGAGCTTGCTGAAGAGACAGGTAAGGGGTGTTGAGAAGTGAAAAAGCATGAGAGAGGCAGGCACAAGCACAGGCAAAGGTGTACACATGTAAGAAAGCATGGTATGAGAGGGGCTGGGAGCTGGGTCGAGGTGGAAGTATAGTGGTGATAAATGGTGATGGAAATATTTAATAAATACAATGATGGGGAAAAAAGCAAGCATGGTATGTTTGAAGCCCAGTTTAAATAGGAGCTGCAGAGGAGACACAGTTTGGGGTACTGGGCAGTCCTACCTATTTTTGTTATACGAACGGATGTGATGTAAGTAAAATGGGCTAGATCAGGAGTGTCAGACTCATTTTCACCTGGGGCCACATCAGCCTCGTGGTTGCCTTCAAAGGGTCAACTGTAATTTTAGGACTGTATAAATGTAACTACTCAACAGTTAAATGAGAGCTTGGCACTATCTCAGGGTAGGAACAAGGTGCTGGGCTAATAAAACAAGGTGGAGGGCTGGATTAGGCCAGAGGGCCTTGTGTTTGCCACCTGTGGGCTAGATGATGAGGCTGAGCAGGGAGATAGAGATCAGACCATGAACAGCTTTGAGACCTTTCAAGTTTTGTCAAACAATAGGTCATTGGGCCCCAGCATACTTTAATGGTCACAGATTACAATAGGGGGGATGTGCTTTGTGTTATTTCATCATATTCAGCCTCTCTTGAGGCTTCACCATGCCTAGTCAGAGTGCTTAGGAGCAGTGTATCTGAGCCTCTTCCCACTTACCCTCCAGAATGAGGCCTATGAGAAGACCATAGTGTTTATAAAAAGGCTTAAAAGCATTATTATTTTTTCAATGAACTCTATTCTACTCTTTTGAATTTATCAACTCAGATAGCAAAGTGTACATATTTCTAATTTAGCATTCACTTGTACGATAGAAGCTGAGTAGAGAGGGAGGAATGTTTTATCAGATATGTGGGGTAGTCTCTCTCTCTCACATATATATATGCACATACACACACATATAAATTTTAAAAAGTAGTAAAATCTTCCTTTAAAAATCAAACTGCACAAAATTCTGTGAAATTAAAAAATGAAAGTGTTCCGCTCTTCCTGGCCCCAATTTAGTAGGAGCTACTCTGAAGGACATCCTTTTAGAAATTATCTATACATATAGAAATATGTGGGCACTTCTTGTTTTCTTTTACTTTGAAATATAAGTTAAATAATTCTATGGATTCTTCCTGGTATTATTAAGAAGCACACAAGCAAAAGATGAGTACTAAATCCACAGGTTGCATTTCTAGTCGAATCCAGTTCCCGGGAGTCCTGGGAGCCTCTAACCGCTCTCCCTGGTCTGCAAATGAGCGTAGGAGTAATGAAGAGCTTTCCACAAGGGCAGCCTTGGTGCCTATCCTGCCAGCTCCGATCAGTCAGCTCCTATGTCTTGAAACTGCTCTTCTTTTTCTCCAACACCTATAACAGCATTTTGCCCATTCCAGGCATTTACTATGTATCTATTAACATCATATGACTCATTAAATTCACAGAACTTCATCAATATTAAGCTACTGAAAGTATCCATTTAGGCATCTAATGACTGACATTATGCCTTATTTTCTTCAGAACTAATTTTTTCCCCATCTTTAAGTGATCAGATAAGGGGTGTGCTTAGGGAAGCTCTTCTGGCTAAATGTTTCCGTGAAATCTAGCAATGAAGTTCACAATAATGGAAGTAAAAACTGACCACACACAAGGTCAATGATAATGTACTTAAACACATCCTGGTCTTTCAAATACAATAACAAAGTGGTGACCTACTTTCCTGCAGAAAGCCAGGAATCAATTCTGTCTTCCTTTGTGTTTTTGAATTCTAGCATTGCCATTTATTAAATGTGTGACCTCAGAGGAGTCTGTTAAATCTCTCTGAGCTTTAGTTTCTTCAAGCGAAAAAGGATAAGGAAACCTGTCTTATGCAGTTGGCACACGGGTTAGATGAGATGGTCTTTGTGAAAGTTTGTGTCAGGCACGGAGTAGGCATAAAACACAGTGGTTAAAGCCTAGGTTCTGGAGCCAGACTGCTCTTCCTGAAATGCCAACCCCACCACTTATGCTGGATGACATGCAGCAAATTGCTCAGCCTCTCACTAACGTATAGCTTCTTATGTATAACATCAGAAAATCAATTGGATTATTTAAAGGACTAAGTAAAATGGTTTCTTATCTATAACATCAGAAAAAACTGGATTACTTTAAGGATTAAATAAGATGGTTTTGGGTACTGACAATAATGGTTTAATACTATTTACTGTTATTATTATGAGTATAGGCTCTCCATAAAATTTCTTTTCTCTTCTTACCCTTCATTCTTCTATTTGACTCATCTAAATCACCTGAAGTAAAATTCCAAAGCTCTGCTTTTTCAGGGTTGTAAACTAAGAGGTTGAAAGACTACAGGCTACATGTTGCTATAGGGGTTGAATTGCATCCCCCCTAACCCCATCTGTTGAAGAATTAACCCCCAGTATGACTGCATTTGGAGGAAGATCTTTAGGAAGTAATTCAGGTTAAGTAAGGTCATAATAGTAGATTTAATCCTACAGAACTAGTTGCCATAGGACTATAGGACTGAATAAGAGAAAGACAAATTTCTCTCCTTTCTCTTTTCCCCATGTGACCAAAAAGTGAGAAGTTGGCCATCTCTAAACCAAAAAACAAATTGCCCCTGCTGGACCATGGTCTGGGAATTCCAGCCTCCAGAACTATGAGATAATAAATTGCTGCTGTATAAGGTTCCTGGTCTATGGTATTTTGCTATGGCAGCCTGAGCTAACATACATGGTTTCTTTGAGTCTTCAAACTGGTTTCTTGAAAATTTTATTTTTAAGAAATTTACTACCCCTCTACATTAGCATTTCACAAGTAGAAGATGTTGCTGAAGCTGCATGACCTTCAGGATATGTAAAACATAATTAACTAAGACATGAGAAGAGTAAAGATCTTGATAGCTGAGCAGAGACCTTTGATTGGAGAACTCAGATCTGATCCTGAAAAAAACATCTTGCACTGCTGGGCTAAAGAAAACACTTCATAGGCAGAAGTCTGTGTGCAAATGGGGTGCCTGAGCAGAGAACCCATTAATATCATTGTTCATATTAACAGAAAACAAATCACACCATATACCCACAGAGTAAAAGAAAAGTATGTCATCTTTGAAAACAAATGAGCAAATGATCTATTTCACAAGTCGACTCAAAACCACACATCTTCCAAGGATTACAGAGGAAGAAGTTTAGGAACAGATTAAGGAACTTGCTATGTGACACAGTTAATGACCTGATGAAGCTTGGGTTTCAGTCCTGGTAGTCTGGCTATAGATTCGTGCTTTTAAAAAACATGACAAAACCCACTGGCATGGACAGAGAAGAAATTTCCCTGTGGTGATCACAACAGCTTACCCTAAGCCAAGTAAAACTGACAATGTATTGAAATTTCCCCTTTATCTCTTTGTAGGGCACTGAAATGAACAGGAGATCCCCCTGCCCAATCTAACACAATGAACATTAATTCCCAACCACATTGAACAAGATACAGACTATCTTGCAAAATATCAGCTCTGGCCAAGATGGAGTTTCAGCCCCAGTAGTCTGGCTCTAGATTCATGTAGGTAGGAACCCTTCACTTCCTTGCACAACCAAAAGGAGGATAACAACCAATCTAAAATCAATAAACAACCAGAAGCACCAGAAAAATCAAACTGCGTGGCACTCTGACAACCAAAGAAGAAAAAAAAAAATCAATCAGAACTACCAGACCAGTAAGGTGGCGAGAGCTGGTGGAGAAAAACTACTATGAGTCTGTGGACCTCGGGGACAGGGCTGGCTGCAGCACGGTGACAGGCTGCAAGGGCTGTGTGGGCAGGGCTGACTTAAGGGGAAAATGAGACTCAGAGTTGCTACAGGGGTTGCTACAGTGGGAGAAACTCCCGGGCCCACATAAGAGTCCATTAGAACGTGCGCTAAGGACAAGCAGGCAAGCTGCATTGTTCCCTCTCTGGCACCTCCCCCACAGGCAGTGATGCAGCGCAGCAAAGAGGGTTGCCCTGCCCCCTTACAACTTACCAGCTGCACCGAGATAAAAAAATATGGCCCAAATGAAAGAACAGAGCATAACCTCTGAGAGAGAACTAAATGATGAGGACATAGACAACCTATCTGATGGAGAATTTAAAGCCCTGGTAATCAAAATGTTCACAGATCTGACTGAACTTGGTTGAAAAATGAAAAAACAAATGAAGGATATCCAAAGTGAAATAAAGCAAAATATTCAGGGAACCAACAGTGACAGGATGGAAACCAGGACTCAAAGCAACAATTTGGAACAAAAGAAAGAAATAGACATCCATCCAGAAGAAAAGAAAGAAACAAGAATTCAAAAACATGAAGAGAGGCTTAGGAAATTCTGGGACAACTTGAAACATTCCAACATCCGAATTATAGGGGTGCCAGAAGGAGAAAACCAGCAAGAAATTGAAAACTTATTTGGACAAATAATGAAGAAAAACTTCCCCAATCTGGCGAAGGAAATAGACTTTCAGGAAGTCCAGAGAGTCCCAAAGAAGTTGGACCCAAAGAGGAACACACCAAGGCACATCACCATTAAGTTACCCAAAATTAAATATAAGGAGAGAATCCTAAAAGAAGCAAGAGAAAAGGAGAGAGTTACCTACAAAAGGAGTTCCCATAAGGCTATCAGCTCATTTCTCAAAACAAACCTTGCAGGCAAGAAGGGGCTGGAAAGAAGTATTTAAAGTCATGAAAGGCAAGGACCTAAAGAATACTCTATCCAGCAAAGCTTTCATTTAGAATGGAGGGGCAGATAAAGTGCTTCTCTGATAAGGTCAAGTTAAAGGAGTTCATCATCACCAAGCCATTGTTATATGAAATGTTAAAGGAACTTATCTAAGAAAAAGAAGATAAAATATGAACAGTAAATTGACAACAAACTTATAACAAACGAACCTAAAAGAAAAGAAAGACAATGAAAACAAAAACTAAGCAAATAACTAGAACAGGAACAGAAACAGAAATGGACATCACATGGAGGGATCTCAGTGGGGAGGGGGAAGGGAGGAATAGGGGGAAAACAGTACAGGGAAGAAGAAGCATAATTAGTAGGCATAAAATAGATGGGGAGAGCTAAAAATGGTATAGGAAACAGAGGGCTCAAAGAACTTACATGTACAACCCATGGGCATAAGGGTGGGGAGGAATCCTGGAGGGTAGGGTAGAGGGGGAATAAAGGGAGAAAATACTGGGGAAACTGTAGTAGATAATCAATAAAAACACTTAAGAAAAAAAAGACTATCTTTCATAACCAGCAGCCAACAATTAATGGTGAAACACTAGATGTGTTCTCAATCAAATTACTAATACAGCTGAATTACCTGTTGTCAATAATCATTACACTGGAGGCTGGAATCCCCAAAACATCACAGCTCTGGAAAAGTTCTTTCTTACGAATCTCACCTTGATTGTAGTAATTTCCTGAAGATAACAGATATACAATGGAAGATTTAACAGTAGAGATTTATGGGTTCACTCATTCTTACCACATCTTGTTCCTCAGAGGATTTAAGCTCCCTAAAAATATTGTGGTTATAATAAAAAGTTGAAGAAAATACAACACTAAGATTACATCAGATTCTCCTGTGAGAAGACCGCCAGCAGCACGATCTTTTTTTTTTTTTTAAGATTTATTTATTTTCAGTGAGGGGAAGGAAGGGAGAGAAACATCAGTGTGTGGTTGCTTCTCGAGCACCCCCTTCTGGGGACTGGCCTGCAACCTAGGCATGTGCCCTAACTGGGAATGGATCCAACAACTCTTCAGTTTGCAGTCTGGTGCTCAATCCACTAAGCCAGACCAGTTAGAGCATCAGTAGCACAATCTTTAAATCACCATTAATTCTTTGCCACCTGTACCCCTCTCTCTCTCTCTGTCGGGCTGCCTAGCTGCCTGTCTATCTGCAATGTAGTTTCATGCTATAGGGAGCCACTGCGCATCTCGGAGAGCAATGGCTCTGGCGTTTAGGCAGAGAACCCTTCTGTAACCACTCAGAACAAGTGGGGCCCTTGAGCACACTATTAGTTTGAGCACCTTTAAATTAACAGTCCTCAAATATCTGTTAAAGATTTACTTAAAGGAGAGGCTCCTGAGTATTACAGGGCAACATCCTCCTTTGAAGCGTAAAGCAACCAGCTATGCCAGCATGCCCTACAAGAGCTTGACCACATCAGCATCCCAAATAGCTCAGGTATTCTTTATTTTCCCCAATAGATGTACTGTACTTCCTAAGAATAGTTCTGGTAAGTGCAACTCTTTTGTATCCTTACAAATAACATACAGTGAAATTTTGGGATCACTAAATTGCACTCATTATCTAACTAATGCATCCCTTAACACGAAGAGTTAGTATTAAATTCTGCAGCAGGTAATTGCATAGTGATTTGTGCTAGTTACTTCACTTTCTTAAGCCAGTTTCTACACACGTGAAAGGGGATAAGACCATTTCAGAAGGCTTTCCTGACCATTACAGGAGTTACGTGTCCACCCAGCTAGGTACTCCGTGTTAATTTTCTCTTTCCTTGCTTTGTTTATCTTTACCTTCCCACTGCTCCTTTTCCTTTCTCAACTACAGTTCATCTTCATTGTCCAAATCAAATGGCCTTCCCCCTGTGAAGCTTTGTCCTATTTTCCTTGACAAGTAATCATTTCCAGTCTTCTGCTCTTAAGTATGTATTTTTCTCCATGAACAAATGATTCATTCCTAAATGCCATTGACTTAAAAAGTGATAGTCTCATTCAACTTTATATCATCCTGGTGTCCAGCACACTGCAGGCCCTTGTGAAAGTGGCCAAAGAGAGGCTCTGCCCCCTGTTCCAGGTGACTCAGAGAAAGACCCCACGGGAGGATGCCTTTCATCTCCTGCAGGGATTACCCTAGTGCTAGTTTTGAGCTGTTTAAACCCAGGCAGGTAAGACAATCATCATATTGCATCTAACAAAGGGAATGGCTTTAAAAAGACTCCAGATCACAGCTTACTTTTATATTGTTTTCATCATAATTTTTTTGTTAATACTTCATTTTTGTAAGTCAGACAGAAACTAGTGATTTTTGTAATGGTTACTATTACTATTTTAGGTTCCTCTCAAATCCATACACATAGCCTCTCCCATTGTCTCAAGGCTACTTGATCTTTGATGATAAAGAGTCTAATGTATACTAGTGACGTGATTCCTAAATTCAGAGGCTGTGCAAATCAGACTCTTATTACAGTTGAGAGAAACTGCTTAGAATTGAAGCTAATGTGTTTATGGAACAAGTTTTATTGCTTTGTGTTTAAGGAAGTTAAAACAGGTTAGGGAGTTGATGTCAGAGATCGCTTTAAATATGTTCACCAAGTTTGGTGAACATGTACGCACTTCCACAGATTAGGTGTCTGAGATCCGTCAGCAGCTCTTAGCTGAAACCCTCTCAAACAGTGTCCCATTGGAGGGGGATGGCGCACCCCAGGGGGCATAAGATAATCTACTGGGGCGGAGGAAAAGCTTTAGAATTTGTCCTCTTAATTTGTTTACCTTGTTTTTTATAAATGTCAACTTTTGTTAATGTTTTATAATGTATACACTAGTTCGGTGGTCCATGTACTTATTATAATTATAAATAAATATGTAGTACATATAATGGGGGTATATGCTCAAAAGTTTTTACCAATCAGAAAATATGACCAAAAATATTTGAAGGTCATTATTTTTGAAAACAGAATACAAATGGGATTAATTATATAGAACTACATTTTGTGTGTGTGTATAAGCTTATGAATAACTGTATGCTTAATTAAGTCTTCTGTTTTGTGATAACCATGATAATACTTCTCTGTAACAACTAGCAAGTATAATGACATTTAAAACAAATCAAAGACACTTTGTAAAAACCCATATTTATACAGCAAATGTGTAAAGGTAGATATTTCATTTTAAAGATTTAAAATTTATTTACTCTAAATAGGTAAAAGATTTATGTGGTTAATAAAAATCATAAGTTATAGCAAAAACAAAAATAAAATATCTGGGAATAAACCTAACCAAGGAGGTAAAAGACCTGTATGCAGAAAACTACACAACACTCAAGAAAGAAATCAAGGAAGACACAAACAAATGGAAACATATACCATGTTCATGGATTGGAAGAATTAACATCATCAAAATGTCCATACTACACAAAGCAATTTACAGATTCAACGCAATACCTATTAAAGTACCAAATGGCGTATTTCACAGACAAAGAACAAACACTTCAAAAATTTATATGGAACCTTAAACAACCCTGAATAGCTGCTGCAATTTTGAAAAAGAAGAGCAAAGTAGGAGGAATCACAATACCTGATATCAAATTGTATTACAAGGCCACTGTAATCAAAACAGCCTGGTACTGGCATAAAAACAGGCACATAGACCAATGGAACAGAACAGAGAGCCCAGAAATCAACCCAACTCTCTACAGTCAATTAATATTTGACAAAGGGGGGCAGTAACATAAAATGGAGTAAAGATAGCCTCTTCAACAAATGGTGTTGGGAGAACTGGACAGCTACGTGCAAAAAAATGAAACTTGAGCACCGACTTACACCATACACCAAAATAAATTCAAGGTGGATAAAAGATTTAAATATAAGCCGTGAAACCATTAAAGTCCTAGAGAATCTCAGCAAGAAAATCTCAGATATTTCACACAGCAGCATATTTACTGATATGTCCCCTAGAGCAAGGGACATAAAGGAAAGAATAAACAAATGGGATCTCATCAAAATAAAAAGCTTCTGCATGGCTAAAGAAAATAGCATTAAAATAAAAAGAGAACCAACTGTATGGGAAAACATATTTGCCAATGATACCTCAGACAAGGGTTTAATCTCCAAAATATACAAAGAACTTACACGACTCCACTCTAAGAAGACAACCAACCCATTTAAAAAATGGAAAAAGGACTTGAACAGACACTTCACCAAGGAGGACATACAGAGGATCCAGAGACACATGAAAAGATGCTCAATATCACTAGCCATCAGAGAGATGCAAATTAAAACCACAGTGAGATACCACTTTACACCGGTCAGGATGGCTATCATAAACAAACCAACAAACAACAAATGTTGGAGAGGTTGTGGGGAAAAGGGGACCCTAGTTCACTGTTGGTGGGATTGCAGACTGGTACAACCACTATGGAAAAAAAACAGTATGGAATTTTCTCAGAAAAATAAAAATCAATCTGCCTTTTGACCCAGCAATTCCACTGCTGGGATTATATCCTAAGAACCATAAAACACCAATTCAAAAGAACCTATGCACCCAATGTTCATAGCAGCACAATTTACAATAGCCAAGAGTTGGAAGCAACCTAGGTGCCTGTCAGTAAATGAATGGATCAAAAAACTATGGTACATATACACAATGGAATTCTATGCAGCAGAGAGAAAGAAGGAGCTCCTATCCTTTGCAACAACATGGATGGAACTGGAAAGCATTATGCTGAGCGAAATAAACCAGGCATTGAAAGACAAATACCATATGATCTCACCTTTAACAGGAAGCTAAGCAACAAAACAAACAAGCAAGCAGAATAAAAACAAAGACACTGAAATAGAGAACAGGAGGACAGTGACCAGAGGGGAGAGAAAATGGAATTTAAGGGGAAAAAGGGGGAGGGATTTAGAGGAACAAGTATGAAGGACACAAGGACAAGAACTAAGGGGGGTGGAAATGGGAGGGAGGTGGGGAACACAGGGCGGGGCGGGCTGGGATGGGAGAAATAGACAGAAAACTGTACTTGAAAAATAAGTAAATAAAAATTTTAAAAAATCCTAAGTTATAAAGCTACATATAGTAAAAAATAAAAAATAAAACCTCTCTCCCACCCCTTTAGTCCCCTAGATCCCTACTTTCAAGTGTGAGAATCAAGGCAAGTTTGAGGATTATGGTCCCAGTATTTGGCCTTTCACTAACTTCATGAATCTGAAGAAATTTCTAAGGTTCCTGGTTTCAGGAATGCCAGCAAGTTTTTTTCTTGAACATGACCAAGTTAATTCTAAAATGTATTTGGAAGAAAAAAAGGCCAACATTTTCTCAACTCTAAAAGGAGGGTGTTTAAGGTCCATACCAGTTAGGTCCTTACCAGATCTGCCTGGGAAAAGAGGAACCATATCAAATACTTACATCAGGTAATGGAAAGAATTTGATATATAACTGATGGAGGACTTGAGGGTCAAACAGGGAACAGTGAAGTGATCCAAGATTAGGACAGCAAGTGTCTACCAACCCTTGGTTGGAGAAGTAAAAGGAGACAGTGTTATTGGAGCCCAGAGGCCTGGGTTCCCCCAAAGAAGCTGAAACCAAAAGGGCAGAACCCTCTTCTATTAGAATGTATCCCCAGAACCCGACTGGAGAAATTATGATTTAAAAATGAAACTAGCATAAAAATGGGGGCAAA